ATATACTGAAATATTATCGAAACAATTAATTATTCTACAACCAAAATTACATATTTTAATTAAATTGAAATTTTAAAATTTGTTCATTTTGTTTACCAAATCTACAACAGACATTAACAGTAGTAAATGATTCATTTGAAAGATTAAACAAAAAAAAAAAAACTTAAATTAAAATTTAAACGTTTAATTTGAATATATTTTTCTCATTCAAAAAATAATATGTAAATTTATTTACACACACATATATATATTAGCAGAAACAATTAGAATGAATGGAAGGAATAAGACATTTGAAGAGTTAAACTGGGAAATGGGAAAGGGTACCTACCACCATACCAACACCGCAACCGTTGTTAGCACCAACAGCGCCGATTTCATTCATCCATTTCTGCCCCCTTTCTTTCCCATTCCCATCCTTTCAATATTTGTTTGATTTATCCGTTTCTACTCTGTAATCGAAGTAGAAGTACCGAACCCAACTGCTAGTAGTAACGTATCATTGTTCTCGAGATAAGAAATCTTAAATTGAATATTTTTCGGACAAATTGATCCGACAAAGATGGAACAATGAAATGATAGATCAATCATAAATGAAAATAAAAGAAACAATTTCACATAAACTTCTATTTTTTCTTTTTTTTTTTTTTTTTTTGTTTTGCTAGAAGACAAGAAATCAAATGTGTATAATACGTGAATCACATCATAAGCTTTATAATAGCTTTTAAATACTATAGAAAAAAAAGGAAAAAAAAAAAAAAGGATTGAATGTTTGAAAAAAATGTAAAATGTATTTTTTTTTTGGATGTGTGATCGAGAATTTCAATTAAATTAGCTTATTGGATCAACGATAGAAAAATTAGTAACATAAATGAGGCTTCTTATTTTTTCATAAGAAAAAGGATGAATGAAGGTGAAATGATATTAGCTTACATTCATTCATTGTCAATGAAAGAGAGAGAGAGAGAGAGAGAGAGAGAATATTCTATTTCAGATTGATTAAGTATTATAGGCCAGCTAAAGCAGCCAATTCAAAGTCATCATTAACTCTATAGACAGACACAATTTTCTTCACTTTCCTTCTTTTATTTCTATTCCATCATCAAAAATTTCAATCATATGAAACTGGTATCAGTATCAGTAATACATCTAACTAATACAAATCTTAGCTTTCATTCATTTCATTTTAAAATATTTTAAAACTCATGGGAATAAAATTAACTATTATAATTAGTGTAAAATGAAAATGAATAATTATAATTTTGGATGACTTTTTCTCATTTCAATATTTACATCATTTAGCTTAACCATCTTGCATAAATCTTTAATCTTTTATCTGTTTGAAAGAGCTTTTGAGGAAATGAAATGTATTATTCAATTTGTAATCAAATCTCATTCTAAAACCTTTAAATTTCCTCATCAAAAAAAATGGGTTGAAAAATCAAAAAGCATTTATGAATGTTACGAAAAGAGGACAGAAACATGAATTTATCTTTATTTCGTTTAAAATTAAGCAAATACTTTTAAAATAAATTGAATAATTAGTTGAAATAATAATGCTCAAACTTTTCACATATATTTATTAAAGCTAAAAGAGCATTTTTCAAAATTAGTTCAAGTTGGTTTAAAAAAAAAAAAATTAAATTAAATTAAATCATTTGTCATAGTGTCATCTCCCATCTCTCCATCCCTGAATGTTTGTATTATTATTCATTAGTGTTCAACAATTTTTTTTCTTTTTTTTTTTTTTTTAAAAAAAATGCAACAAATTAAAACATAAAATCAGACGTAGACGATCTAATATTCAAAATTTACAAAAATTCACACTAATCAATCACTTGTTGACTTTCTTTTTTGCTATCGCCAGAAACGGACATATATATTTCTCTTTTTTTTTTTTTTTTTCTCCCACCTCCTATTTTTCTCGAGAAAAAACTTTTTTTACATAAATGGATGGAAATTATAAAATAGCATTGGAGAAAATGACCTGATCCTCCCTTCTTCTCAACAAATTTCACTATTTGTTTCAGTTATTGTAAAATACTTAAAACAGTTAATTATAAATTAAAAATGGATTTTAGCGCAAAAAGATGCATTTAATATTTCAAATAGAAAGTGATATTATTGAAATTTTGAAGCAAATTTGCTACAAAATTCTTTTTTCTACAAAGAATATTGTTTATAATTTCATTTGCAAATGATTCAGTATTGAGTTAAATTGAAACATTTGGGTGAATTTAAGCTAAGAGAAGTGTTTAAAAGATGAGACAATCACTTTGATCCATTATCATTCATATGATTGATTAACAGAGAAGAAAAATTAAAGACACTGAAAGCCACCTGTCAATGATATGATATGATATGATATGATATGATATGATATGATATGATATGAGTAGCAGAAGAATAAATCTAAAAGTGATCATTTATTGCAAAAATCAACTAAACATGTTCATTTTGAAATATTAGATAATTTCTCTTTTTTATTAGTTTATTTATTACAAGGTTTTTTATTTACTTATCAATTTACTTATTATGAAATTTCTTATTTACTTATCAATTTACTTATTATGAAATTTCTTATTTACCTATCAATTTACTTATTATGAAATTTCTTATTTACTTATCAATTTACTTATTATGAAAATTCTTATCTACTTATCAATTTACTTATTATGAAATTTCTTATTTAATTATCAATTTACTTATTATGAAATTTCTTATTTACTTATCAATTTACTTATTATGAAATTTCTTATTTACTTATCATATAATAATATGAAACTAATAAAATATATCATGTTGCATGCTTGTTAATCGTTAGATTTTTTAATAAACGAACTACATTTTCAACAATTAATTTTTATACTTTTCTGCTGGAAAATTTATCTCATACACATTTATTGTTTTAATAGCACTCAATAGCAATCATTCCATGATTATCTTAGAATAACATTAGCTAATATAAGATAGATTAAATGTTTTAATGTTTCATAACAGAATGAATGAAAGTCATTTATTATTGTCTCATCATTTTAAAACTTTCTTTTATCATCGATGAAAAAAATGTGAAAATTTTTCTGTAAGAAAAAATTTAGAAAATCAAAATTGATAAATATCATAATGCTTATATCAATGTTTATATTTCATACACTATATGCGATATGATACTAATTCAATAAACATTGAATGATACCTAAAAAAAACTGTTAAACATTTTAAAGTTTTATTTCAGCACTCAATTTTCCTCTTTTGAAACACTTATTTTTTTTAATAACAAAAACAAACAGAATAAATAGCTCTAGCATGCTGATTTCCTGCACATTAGGAATGCAAATGTTAATTATTGACCACAAACATATTTATTCTTTGATAATTGTCATTAAAAAATTTGAACTTTCAAATACAATTGTTTATCCTATTTTCAAAATAACTTGTCTTTATGAAATTATTTAACTTTGATCTTATTTTATCCAGCTAACTAAATTTAATAGTGAAATAAATAACTGCAATGTAGCCAGCATTCTTTTTTCCCATGTTGAGATTGACTCATATTGTATTAATATTACTTATCTTTAGTTTATTGAATATTTTTATTCACTGGTAATTTTTTGTTTTATAAGCACTTCTAGAATAATCGACTAATTTTTAACTCTAATAACAAACATAATTCCAAACATAGCATTAAACAAAAACTACAAACCAACATTGGTGTTACAGCAGCTGGTAAAAAAAATTATACCAGATAAAGTGCGACAAAATTTTCGAAATTAAACTTTATTTACATATTAAACAAGAATGCAGAAAACTGATGAGTTCATGAAAGAACTAATGCAAATTCTTGGAAACCTTTTCAGAATTCATATCAACAACAACTGTTATCATCGAACAGGTAAGCTGATTCTGAAATTCATCGATTCTGTAACATAAATTTGAAAAAGCGAAATGTAAGCGTAAAGCATTGAATACAACAGGTCCACCCTAGCAACAAACTTGTTTTCCTTATTTTTAACTCGATTTACTACTTTTGTTTAATTGCTTGATAGTGAAGGATGAAAGCTGCAGGTTTCCAAGGGAAACACTTTAAAAAATGGACTCAAATGCAACACAGCTAACACTTTAAAAAAGGAAGAGTTGAAAAAAAAAAAGAAGCACGATGAAGGCACGAAAAGCTAACTAAAGCAAAAGTAAAGATTTGTACAAAGCTATACACGGATATTACTGAAAAAAAAAAAAACTGAAGAACTGCCCATAACTTGACCAAAAAATAGGAGAATGGAATAAAATTTGAACATTCAGGTCGTATGATACGACTACTCTATCGTTCAAATGTTTGCATGATACAAACAATATAAAGTGCAGTTTTAATGATAAATGGATAAATTGAGTACCTAGAGACTTCAAAACGACTGCACTTTTTATGAAAATTTTCAAAAAGTCTCTAAATGGTGGCAACTATTTATTAGGAAAAACTGTAAAAATAAAAGATGTTTAAAAAAATACTTAAACTATTGTCGAGGACTTTTATAAACATAGAGTGCAAAGAGAAGCTGAATACATATAAACTGGCTTATCAACATTAACATGAAATAGACAGAATAAATTACTCATCTAGTCTTTGTTAAAATAATGATATAAAAAAACAACATGAAGGAAACAAACTTTTTACTATTTAGTTATTTCACGGAAAAGTCTAAAAGTATTCGTTTAGAATAGGTAATAATTGCTAAGTAACTTATTTTCTGATTCCCATTTCAGTTTTCCGAAATCAAAAACTCAGCTTGAAAATTAAGGCACTTTTGCTTGTAACCATTTTCCAGTAAACAAGTCGAGTATTCCTCGTTTTCTGCCGGAAGCATTCTCATTGTTAGTGCAAACGTCAGCATCTAGGATTCATTTTTGGGCATTTGAAATTTCATGAAGCCTCTGATGTGACACGACGTGGCAGATATATTTCAGTGAACACTCGTATTGTACGGTTATTTGATTATTTTTTTTTTTCTTTAGCGCATGAATCTAAAATTGGAAGTTACTTGATTATTTACAAACTTATATTCAAGTCGTTGCTTGTACCAGTTAGAATCCAACATTTAGTTTGGTTATAATAAGAAAACGCTTAGAAAGCAACATAATAATATTTGTTATTATAATTAGAATTACGAGAGCTTACCCATGCAACACATGCACTGTTAATTCGTAAGTACCCATAGTGATTGCTGTATTTGGGACTGTTCGTAGAAGCTAAAAATGAAAAAAAACATCAACTACAAATAAATTTACTATCCATTTTAAATTACTTTACAATATAGCAACTTATTTAACAATCGAAACTAAACAAAAGCTCAGTCATCATTCAGTTACTAAAAAGGCAAGGCTGATGCAAAAAGCTATTTAATGTATAAACCTGTACAGCCAATCCTCTATAAAGTGCCCAGAAGCCTTCCCTTCGCCAAACAAACTTTAGAGTAGGTAAAAATCCTTTAATTACAGCATTCTCCTCGCGCATACGAGTACGCACCACTTCTGTAAACAGAGAAAAATGATAAGAGATACAAGTTAAATCGAAATGTGAGCTAGCGTTGATGAAGCACGTTCAATCCGAAATCTTATCTTTGCCATAAAAAGCTCATAGTATAAATAATATTAACTCGACTCTATCCGTGAAGTTCGGTCCAATGACGAGTGGATTCAATAATCTCATATAGTGCTCAAATGACTAAATAGACTGTGAAAGAAAACCATTTCCTAAAAAAACGAACACTGAACTATTTTATATCATCCAAATCATTAATCCATAATGGCTAGATCAATGTTTATTTAGAGGAAAATGAATACCAGATTAAATTTACTAAATTTTAAGTTGTACTTTTGGATTCAATTTTCCACTAGAAAAAACAAATTAACCTAATAATATCTGGACAATTAAGTGATGTATACCTGCATGCCAAAAATAACAGAAACAGCATGTCTAAAGGAACGAACCATGTGGATAAGCTAATGAACAGGCGAAAAACTTTGCTGTCCCACCAGCGAGCATAAAATGCAAGAAATCAATCATTTCACGATTGTCGTTTTCAGTTAAGGGCACTACTGATAGCTCTTTCTCATCTTGTTCCTGATGGGCCTTCTCATCCCACTTATTAATATTTGTTCTTGGGTTTGCTAAACTCTTGGAATCATCTACATCCAGTTCTCGAGAAGATGACTTCCACTTCAACAACAATGCTCTCATCTCTTCATATAATACAAATTGAATTACTGTTTCAGAAATTCCAACGTATGATGCGGTCACTCCCTGAAATTACAGAACAAAATATTTCATCCAATAATTTAATCATGTTGCAATATTCGAGATAAAATTGTAAGATATAGTTGAGATTGGAAGCACATCCAGACAATCAGTTAAGAGAAGGGTGAAGATAAAAGCGAAAGAAAATACCATCAGAAACAAGTAGCATAAAATATTTCCTGGGTAAGAATAACCGTGCAGTCAAGTTTGCATAAGTAATAAACGTCGTTCCCTCAACACATCGTGTTTTAAAAATTCCAAGAAATATTTACCCGATAAAAGCCCCTAAAACCATCTGCTTTCCACACTCGTTTGATACATTCCGTCACTGAGAGTGGCCCTTTATGCAATTGTAAGCGCGTTTTAACCAACCAAACTGGATTAATGACGGTCGCAGCAACGAAGCCTTAAAAGTAGATCATTTGTTTAATTTGGCTCTGTAATTCCTAAAAACATTCTAGTTTGGTAAATAACAAAAGCTCACCACTGGTAGCTGCAGAAGACATATGTATCATGGCGCTATTCGAGACAAAAATATCCAAACTGTTCAGCAATCGTTTACAGCTTGAATACGTACAAAAGTAAACTGCTCTGAAAATATATCTCTTATTTTCTTCTCATCCAACTTCCTCCAGTAATTTCAAGCAGGGAGAAGAAAAACAAAAAAGATGAGGAAACACAACATTCAAATAATGCGTTTCCATCGAAAAAGACTGCATTGGTTTCTGGGATTCCAAAAATGATGGCAAGAAAGGTAACGAAAACCATTTGAAAATAAAGCAAGTTACTCACTGATTGATTCCAAAGGACTGTTATCGGATTTTAAAGAAAAACACCGTAAGTGATATCCTGCAGTCAAAGAGAGATCTTCAAAAGATGTTGTATCGTATTTCATACTTCGAGAAAAATTTAAAGCACTCACTTCGAAGGTGCAACACCAATAAGGTTAGGACCAATTCCTTTGAAAAGAGCTGAGAATCCTTCATTTACCACAATTTGTCTGGAACAAAATTAAAACTGTTGTAGTACTGCAAAAACAATTTCAATGGTTATTAATCATCTTTTCCCTCATCATGTACCCTTGAAAGAATTAAAGACTTGATGTGGCTCTCAGACGACACAAAAAGCATTTTTCTGCATAAATTAAGAAATCATAAATACAACTCAAAACCAGCAACAGATTCTCCCTTTTCAAAATTCATATAATTATAGATATTATTTTCTGATTTTTGAAGCCATTCAAAGTTATGTTCTAAAAATATACTTGAAGAAGGTGTAAATACTCCTGCTCTGCTGCACAGATAAACCGGGCTTAGCAAAAAGTTGTACATTTCGCTGCACTGCACATGTCGGCGGTATATAGCACAGTTGCAGTTTTTGAGGACTATTGACAGCTGCAATATTTATGAAGTATAATAGACAAAGACTTGCGAAATAATGAAATTTAAGTAAGAATAAAGTGTAATTTTCTCTTAACATATGGTTTGACAGCAAAGACTAAACTATATAAATCTATATAAATAATCCTTTTACATGCTCTTATCCCGCTGTGAGATAGCAAAATGTGTGGGTAAGATAATCGTATGCGGGTTTTGGACGCTCCTTCAGAATGCGAATGAGATAAAGCTGTGCATGCATATTCTGCGCTCTGCAATCGCGTCTTAACCACCTGAAATAAGTTAGTCGATTAATTTAGAATTTTATTTTATTCCTCAATTCATGAAGTCATTTTTTCTCAAATGCATGCATTTCTTAAATGACATAGTAATATAACTAATGGTTCGAAGAAAAGAGCGGAATTTTTTTTTAAAAAAAAATTTTATAAAAAAAATTCTAATGTAATTGAACTAAAGTAAACCTTTTTTATTAACACGATCATAGAATTTAAAAACTATAGAAACAAATTTTAAAAAAAAAAAAAAAAATTCTAGAAGGCAAAAAAAATAACAAAAATAAAACCTCAAGTGGACAGGTAATAGCTGTTCCAGCTGTACCGCCCAAAGCTCCTCCAAGAAAATGCACAAAAGCTTCTTTATCCATATTATCCACCAGCAATCATTTCACAACACAATACACTCTCTTTTTCTGCAAAAAAAAAACTTATATATGAAATAAATAACACAATGGTGCAACGAATTCATTAAAAATTTCATCTTAATCAAGAAAAATTCCATTCTACTTTGTCATATTTTAAAGCACATAAAACAGCCTCTATAAATAACTTATGTTGGCCTTGTAAGAACAAATAACTTTTTAAAGTAAAGGTTAAAGATTTGAAAATGTGACAAACATATCAAACAAACACTGTTGACAAAGAAGCAACCAAGACAATCAGTCAATAACAATTCACAACAAAATAGCAAACATCAGTTCAAGACTTTCACGTGAAAGAAATACAGATATAAAGAGAGATCGGAAAAAAAAAAATTAAGAATGAGAAAATAAGTGAACTTCCGGAAAATTGCAAAAAAAAAAACGAAATAACTTGCCAGTTGAGCATATAAGTGTTTTAATCCTTTCTTTAGGGAAAGGAATCAGAAGACAGATATAGAGTTTAGAATGGACTGGAAAGAAAGAAGTTAATGGAAATGCATTTCGATGGATGTTTAGTATTTGGATGTAATGCCTATACAGTTGCAGTAGTACTTATCTCATTGCTAGCACTCTACTATGTCAACTAAACAAGTCAATATTGGTGTGAAGAGAAATGTTCATGGCTATGAAGAACGATCGATTCTTGTAAAAAAAAAATTTCTAAATTTATCCTTAATATTTGATTATTTATCTAAAATTTTCCCTTAACATTCTAAAATTTCCATCTGATAAAAGATTAATCATTGAAATTATTGTAAACAATTTCATTTAGCATTATTGTTTGATGCAGCCTATCTTTCTTCATGCTTCATTCTAATAAAGTGCAAAATATTTCCCTCATCTTTAAACATAATACTACAGTTAAACTCTTAAGAAAACCAATGAAATGAATAAATGTTCCTAAAGAGTACAATTTCAGAACTCTGAGCTCAATTATAGCATACTAAAAACTCATCCCATGTTGCATATACTATAAAATCACACTTAAAAATTAACACCAAATTATTATTGGTTGATTAGCTTAATCAATCGATTGATTGATCTATTGATTAGGTAGCTAGAGGGATCATCTCGGCTTTCATTACACACTCCGGAAATAACGGAACAGAGTGGAACTGGAGAAGTGCCACTATAGTTGCATGTTCCTTGCAAGGAGCAGCTGACAATTAGCACACACAGAATACAAATCTTCGTTTCGAGAGCCTAGAAATGCAGAAGGGTACCTGCGGGAAGGGCAGGGGTAAAAGTAAGGGCAAGGGCAAGTGCAAGGGGAATTATTGTTGACAAGAACGGAGTTAATAGGCACGGAACATAGGGCTAACACTTATTGGATAAAGAAGCAAGTTATATGTTAAGAGACCAACTGAACAGTGGAACGATGAGTTGATATTTTATTGATGAACAACAACAGTGTCTCTCCTTCCTACTTCATTTGATTTTAATCTGCTCTTTGTTATATCACTGTTCAAAAGTGATTGTTTTCCAAGATGATCCATTACCGCCGCGGGCGGTAATGGAAACGGGCAATATTAGATAGTGTTAGGTAAGATAACTTCAGTTTTTATTTCTTACACTAATCAGTTTGCAGGAGGGATGAATTTAAAAACTTCAGGAATTCTGAAATCGCATAATGATAAGAATGATGATAATAATAAGCCAGATAAGTATTTCTTCTAGAATTTTTCGAACAATTATCAATAGAATTGATTGTTCTTGTTCATCAGTTTTATCTCTACTCTTTCTTGATTTCTCGTTCGTTGCTATCTTTACCTGACCGATTTCTTTCTTGTCCTTCATATGCAGTCCAATTACTTTATCGGAATTAGTGATAGAATGCTTCGATTCATCCGTTTTTTCCTTTAAATCAACATCTCCCTTCCATTTCAGTTTGCTACGTATTTTTGGTTTCGTTTTTGCTGGACGAGCTTCTACATTAACCGGTTCGAAAATTGTTCTTACATGCAGTTCTTCATCCACTTTCGGTAATCTACAATAACCTCGGCATTTTTTCAAAGTCTTAAAAATTTTGCAAGAAATTTTTTCATTAGATTAACAACATTTCTCCTCTTATGGGACTTAAAATGGAAGTACGTTTCCTGCAATTTACTCATTACTATTACAAAAAAAAAAAAAAAAAACACACATAGGTATACAGTAGTAGGACTCATTGTTAACCTTTATCACTCATTTAAATGAAAAAATAAGAACTAATTTTCCGATGGAATGGAATAAAAACTCATTCAATCACCTCTTCGCTTCTTTTTTCTCGATTTTCAAACCTGCAAAAAGTAGTTAGCAAAAATTTCTTCATATTGGATAAGTGAAAAGTGCTAGAGGGATTATTCGTATTCTGTTGAACTGTAAACTAAACAAGTTAACCTTTCTCTGGAGTCCTTGCTCGTCCATTTAATGCAGTTTTGTCGCTGGAAATTTATAAAGTTACCAGTATTATTTTAGATTTCTAATATTGAAATGGTGAGTAACATAACCAAAATAAAGAAGTGTTTTACATGCTTATATGAATGTATCCTTTAACACTGAACTAGTAAATATGAATTCAGAATTGTAAGGTGTAATGGTATGCCAGGTATAATGGTACCTAACGCTAACGTATCGAAGTGAACTCGAAATCGTTTATGATATTACGCCGTTGAATAGATGAATTATTTAAAATCTTAACAAATGCAAGAAGCAATCAATTAGTTATTTTTCTCTTACACAGTTGTTATTACTATTGTATGTTCCATCGTTTATTTTAATTAAATCATTGGTAATATAATTAAATGAATCGATTGGAAGGAAGTATCCGATGTATTTTAAATTGGAAGGGAATATTCGATGTATTTCCCTGGGATAGTATCATATTCATGTTGTGATTGTGTGACATGCATGAGCTATATTTTATCTGCTCAGTTTTTCACAGTTTTTTCATTTGTACCCGACAACTTTTTAAAATTGAATTTAGACGATGGGGAAGAATAAGCAATAACAACGAAACATACTCCATTCAAGTTTGTTGTAATTTAGAAGAACCGACCTATTACTTTACATACTAAAACAATGATTATCCGTTGCTAAATGCAATTTTTATAAGATTTCCTGAAGTCAATAAAATAGGCATAGTTGTGATAAATTTCGGCAAATCGAATTTTCTAAGCTGCATTACTTTAAAAGGTTGGAAATATAACAAATCCAATTTGTGCGAATGCCACATTTCAACTATAGAATGCAAGTGATGTTTTTCTCTAGAACCCCAATCTAGCTGGTGGAAAACCTTTAAGCCTTTAAGGAATAGAATTAGTGCAAGCAAGGAATTGGATGAAAGAGAGGAGTAATGAAGGATTAATAATGAGTCAACTTAGTGGATTTTTACACTTGGAATCGGAAATTTTTGCAATATCTTTTCAAATGATTAGATTATGAGAAGCTATCTATCCGAATAAGGAGCAATTCTTCCAACAGACGATTGCGAATAAAGGACTATTCTTTCAACTTTATCAACAACTTCAAAAAACTTAACAGCATTTAGATCGAAAAAGGACAAACAATTATGAATAATTCAAATTTGACACCGTGAAGCATAACCACGTAAAACATCTTGGTATTACGATCTTAAATGGTGGAAAAGAAACAAAATTTTTACCTTATTTCTAGATTCTTCAACACTATAAGCTCAGAGCGATTTTGGAGAAAGGGAAATCAGAAGACATATTTTGCTTTTTCCCACAAAACCTATTACTAGCTTAAATTGTACCATAATTTCTCTATAAGGATATTAAGATACCCGTATCTTAGTGGGGAGATACATGTTAACATATTTATTAGTTGATTCGAGAAGTATTCGAGTCTTTAAGTCATTATCCATTTTATAATCATTACCAAATATTGTCATTTTCTTAAAAGCATCTGGCAGCAAACTGAATGTTAAAACTACCGATTTAACACAACAATCAGTCTGATAGAAACTAGTATCGGGAGATGAAAATAACTGCTTTGTTTGACACCTTGTCCAACCATCAATTAATAAACTGATCCTACTGCGTTCAGCACCTCCACTACGAACACGAAGACCGCATGCACTCTGAAAGAATATGAGCTACTTTTCTTTTTTTATTCATATCAATTAAATAGTAAATGAATCTATACTCTCCTTTGCACCTATATAAACATTCTTAGCATATGCAGAGGTTACAGATTATTTTTTTTTACAGTTTTCGACAAAATGTCATTATGTGCGCAAAAGACCTTACTTATACAAAAGATTCAGATATTTCTCGAATCAGCTAACCGCAAGAAACAGAACTTAGCATAAAAGTTGCATCAAGTCCGCACACCGATATAACTCAATAATGCAATTTATCGTCATAATTAGATTCTCGAGTTTCAATTTCTAATTGGATATACAAATAAATTTACCTGGTCTTGGAAATTCTCAAATGCTATATCGACCGCTTTGATTTTCATTTCTCTAGTTTTTCCACAATTCTCATTCTGTACTAATGAGTAATCCTTTTTCGGTTTCATATCTTTCTATAATTTTGTGTTTTTAAAACTGTCATATTCATAGTGCCAAAGTTCTACAATACTTTAAATTTCAAGCAGTCATGTCAGTTTATCTCAAACTTATTAAAGTATGCTTCACTTTCAGCGACAATAACCGATAACTCACCATTGCTGGTACAGAGTAATCTCATAAGCTCACAGGATTTTAATACACTTATTATTGCGTTCTCAAATGTGAGTGAATCTCATCACTTCATCTAGGCCATTCTAACCAACAAATATCAACACTTTCAGCAGTATTACGCTCTAAATATATCTTATTCATTTACTCTAGAATGTCTAGTTTTCCGAAACTATTTAAGGAATTAAGAGCTTTAAAGAATTTCCGGAACAGTTTAAAGTTTTAAAAAATATAATTTTCCGAAAACTCACCACACCAGTATAATTACGCGAACCAGTAATATAATGCCACCATTGCCTATTCGTCTGCTGTTTGGTTTTTTCATTTATAGACTGTGATGATCGACATTTGGAGCAACCGGCACAATATTCTTCATAAATCATATTAAATTCTATTTCTGGATATTGCTAAAAAAGAAAATTTTATGTCATCTGGGTAGCATGAATGTTTCTCGAGAACAAAACAGATATGAAGAATGATGAAAACTTCTTTAATAACTGAAGATTCCGAAGTTTAAAACCAAATCAATTAAAAAAATCAATATAATCCTAGTAAATTGGAGCTAAATACGACTGGACCTTTAAAGATCGTAAATAAGCTGTGATATAAGCAATCCAACGTTTTAATGCACCCCAATACCATAATTTATCTTTGTTTACTTCAACCCTATCGTACCAGCCAGCATACAGGCCAGATACACCGTAAAGTGGTTCTTTTCCTTCATTTGTGCTGCTTTCTGAATTCTCCTTCAATGATAATTCATAGAATATTAAACTGGATTAAATGATAGAAATAAATAAAAGCTTCATATTCTTTTTTTTTTGTATGTGTTTCAGCATTAAATTTTTACGCTTAAAATGCAGATTTAAAAACATCAACAAATTCGTTTCAAATCTTATTCCAGCCAATCCATTCACTTATTCATTCACTATCACAGTATTTATGAATGAAAATCAAACAAGAAATGTTCAGTGTCAAAAACTTACAAATTTTATGCTTGATAAATAAATAGGTCGAGTTTGTTCTTCGATAAGAGCCATAGCACTTTCACAGTATGGACGAATATCATTTTGAACTGCTAAAAATTATATGACTGCCTCTATCATCGTTACTCATTATTTTGCTTAGCCAATCTAACCTTTCTATTATTTTTGTTCTCACTCCAATTTCTTAACTAGTCCAGTAAGTATGAGTAAATGTAGTATATTTTTACCATTTTATTTCTGTACACATTACCTCAAGTATTCTGCAGGTAATTATTAAATAGTATATAAACTTTTTTTTTTTACTTTTAATAAATATATTTTCTTTAACAACGCCATTTACGATATGCAAGGAATTTTTGCTCACAAAAATAAGTCGTATATATATAACACCGTCATAACATTCAGGAATATGTCTATGCCATAAGGAAACAATTCAAGCATTGACTCTCTTCCAAAGAAAAAAAAAAATGAAAACTAACCAAATACATCAGGTACTAAACCGATTAATGAACGATTGTCAGAACCACCTGGAAAAACACCAATAGGTAGCGGTGAATTATTTTCTTGACGACACACTGCACTTAGAACAATGCTTAAAGCATTATCTCCACCAATAATATACAGAGCATCACATTCTGTCGTATCAATATGTTCCGCAATAGTTTTGAATTCAGAAATATCATTAGGCTACAACAATGCAATTACAACTAATGAACCTTAAAACCTTAAAATTTAATACACAATAATTCTGGAAGTGGCTTAATGGTTGAAAATAAAATAAAGATCGACATCGTAATAACATTGCTTTCATACAAGCTTTAAAATTAAAAAGCTAACCTTGATTATATCCACTTGTAGACCAGCTAAATTAAGTAATGGCAAAGCATTCTTTTCGAAACTATCAAAAGCACTCGCACAGGTTTTATCCACCAAAACAGTGACACGTCGTAAACGCTCTGCTAAATCCAACGGTGCATCACCAAACTGTTTTGCTTCTCGAGCGTATATAGCTCGTATATTACAGTCTCTAAAACGACAAATTTTCACACCAAATTATAGATAAATATAGAATTGCAATGATCTGCATAAGAAAATAAACAAGGCTCCAAAATATGTCATCACAAATTTCGTTGTATCCCAATACAGTCTGCATAATTCCAATACTAATTCTAAAATTTTAACATTTGTTAACATTTAAAATAGCAAAATAATAAATAAAATTGGTCAACCTTTTCCAGTTGTATATCTTCCATCCCGTGAAGTAAGCAATAAGAGATGCAAATGTCGACTTTTTCTTGTGTTCCCAAAGTTTTCTCGGTATACTTGTAAGATTCATATCTATTTCAATAATTCATCAATGCTATTCGCACTGAAATTCAAAATCTAAATGGAATGTGGAAGCATTTTATGTGACAAGTTCAAAGTTATCGAATCGAAATAAATTTAGTTGAGCGTTTGTTTCACTCTTTATTAACAGTTAGTTATCTCCCTATCATTATGTTAAAACTGTATTTCGCTTACTTATTGTTATGAAGCTACGTGCTTCTTTAATAAATTTATAATCATTGGTTTTTCTTTTCAAAATTAGAATCACATAGATGAAAGACTCATTATTTGCAACCTTGTGACTTTTCCGCAGCTGTCATTACCAACTAATAAGTGACACAGTGAGAAAACTTCTGCTTCATTTAATTTAAATATAAAGAACATATTGTTGGAACAAAAAACAAAGAAACGCACATTATTAGAGATTTATTTACAATATAACAACATAAGAGCAAACACCGAGTGTTTTCATAAGTCAGATGGCAAAAAATTCATAATTTTGTATAGAAATCATTGTGACATATTTGTCGCCACATGTTTTAATACAAATAAGCTCTGCATATGAAAACGAAGTATACTAGGAAGGTTACACAATGAATGGTAATATTTGTTACCTATTTTTTTTTTGGCTGTGCTGTTTTAATTTATCACTATTACTCAATGATTGCAGGAAGTAAATGATTTTAAATTGCAATTAAAAATATCGAATTTTTTTCACAAAGGAAGGTCACTTATATTATAATGATTTTCAAACACTAAACTTTATTGTGTTGAATCACAAATAATATAGCTGAATCCATTAATTTTTGATATAAAGAGAAATAGAAGGAAGAAAAGAACAAAACATTGAACATAATGGAAAAAAAAAAAATATACAGAAGTAAATAAGCAACAACTAATTAAAGCACGAACTATGCAGTAAATGCAAAACATGACCTACACATTACACATACATAAAGATCAAGAAGTGAAGTTACTGGATAAAATACTTAAGATTAAGTAAGTTATTGGATAAAATACTTAAGATTTAAGCTTCTAAAAACAAACCCGTTTCAAAAAAGGTTAACATTTATGCTACAAGAGAAAACGCGACATTAAACATGTTTAATTGTGCATAACTTTGTGTAGCATTAGCCTCATACAAGTACTTGCATCTTCTTTTGAGTCATGTCCATCAACTGAAATAACGAAAAATCTTTCTAGAATTTCGCTGGCTTCATACAAACGTGAATTTAAAGTAATGAAACTGAATAAACAAGTCTCAACAGAAAGAAGTTAAAGAAGATATTCCTTAAAAGTTTAAACAAGTTGACCAGATGGAAAAGCTAGAAAATCAAATATCAATTTAATCTTTGAAATTTTTTTTTCAAAATATCACAAAAGTGCAAATCAGACTGTGTTGAAAACAAAACTTTTCAGTTCATAAAATAAAATGGCTTACTATCTTCTTGAATAATAAGCTGCAGTATTTCTGAAGCAATTGTTTTCAAAGCACGTTTGTAGGGTAATCCTAGCCTATGTGGAAATACAATCGATGTGTCCACCACTCGATGATGGACTAGACGCATTGCTTTTAAGTCACTTTCAAGACTATGTCCAATTAGAATTGTCTCAGAATTCACCAGTTCGAAAAACCGCTTCTGAGTCTACAATGAGGCATCATTTTTAAATGAATCGGCTTTTCCACAAATGAACAGAACAAAAAAATCAATTTTTTTTTTTTTAAAGGTCACTCTAATCAAACCTTATCGAAATCTATATTTGATAGATAAAAAGTAGCATTTCATCATGAGAAGTACCGAAAAGTGAGAGATAAATAGTACCAAATTATAGCTAAACTTTTCCTATCCTACCATCCAGCCATTTTCTTGCAGCATGATACTATCACATAATTATAAACATGATTAATATTCCTGCTTAATCCAGCCCATTATTATATTCTCATATTTCACTGCTTTTATTCTACTATTCTTTGTAATACTTATGCTAATTGTTTTGTAAAATAACAAGAAAGCATCTACCTGTTCCAGGTCAAATTCCGCTCTTTCAATTTGATCTATTGTCAAACCACTAAATCGTGTATTGCAATCACGTACTTCATATTGTGGACGCACAGTAACATCCATCACTAACTTATCATTCACATCCACTACTGATATTCGTGCTAAATTAGTGCCCCAGGCTGTATATACCATTTCACAATCAAATGCATATACTTTCCTGCTTCGTTCATCTTTTGGTCCTGATGGTGGTGGTGTCTGCAGAAATTACATAAATCGTTACTAACAGTGATTCCATAGGATATATTGAGATTATAATGTAATAGGATACAAGAAAGTTTTCCTAGATATTCCTGACTTAAGCTATGACGGAAAGGAAATTTAGCATAGAAGTGATTGAAATCTATAGTGAAACTATAGAGCACAGTGATAGCCCCAAAAACCTGAAATTTACCTCTCGATAGGTTTCCAACACAGATTTGGGAGCGGTATCAGTGACATGACAATCAGCTACACAACATCCAGCTACGTTAAGGTCGGATTGACAACAATTATATCGAGACTCCCATAGTCCACGAGCTAATAATAATGTAGAATGATTATAAATAATAATAAAAGTATTGAAGGATACAACAGAATAAATTATATTTTCCAATAGAAATGACAATTAGAGATCAATTTCCCTTATTGAAATCTACCTGACAGTTATTATTTAATAAAAAGTAAGTAATTAGACGGACTTTTTGTTTTGAAAGCCTTTCCCCAGTGGTATACACATTGCTTCAGCGCAGTATATTCACCTTTCGGTGTAAGAGAAAATTCAGTACCACAACGACAACATATTCTTTTGAGATCTGAAAACGGTAGTGATCTTTAATAAAGAGAATCAGTTGAATTAAGTTAAGAATTTGACAAAAATAAGAAATTAGAAAACCATAAAAGTATAGGTAACTAAAACAATTCCAAAAAGAATGAAAACTTACCATTTTCTTCTACAAATAATTTCTTTTTACTATCTAATTCGGACATTTTGATCTTTACTCTTTTTTTATCAGGACCTTCCCATAAGGGGAAACCATTCTGTTCCAATTTCTGCTCGTCCAAAACAAATTTCGAAAGCAGCAATGCGTAGAATTCACTGCAAAGTAATTACGTTATCAGATAAAACATATAAGTGTTAAACTTCACTAAAATCTATCCCACTTTAATAAACAATGCTCTGTCACATGTTTCCAATTTTAATCTATTTCATTGCAAATGGCAAGACGGAGTCGAAATATTCTCACATCCATATATGACAAAAACTTCTAATGCATAATCTTAACCTTTCGTTGACGGATTGCTTCCCAGAAGTTGAATACTTTTTTTGGCCAACTGTGATGGATCCGTGATGACGACCAGCTAGGATAGCTGAATGTGATACCGATTTTAATACTATAAAACAAACATGTTATTCAGTGAGGAATCTTAAAAAAAATTGATGGTGTAAGGATATAAAATGTTGTGTTAATAGAGAAATTTAGTTACGAAATAAAAAAATAAAATTTGATTTGACTTAATTTAAAGGACGAAAATAGTTTGCATTTAATACAACAATATATAAACAGCATAAATGTTGAGAGTACTGCGCCTTAGCGAAACACAATAGATTCAGCAGAAACGTTTCTGAATGGAGACTTCTAACAAGTAGGAAAGTGTGAAAAGTTCGAGTACAGAATTATTTTTAGTTTTGTTAAGAGTTTCACAACAGAGTGAAGTGACAGAAATAAGTCCTATTGGAATTATGATTAAAATGGATTATGCACAGAAATTAGATTATTTCGCAATCATCCATAAAATTAATGTATTTTTGTAGTACTTAACCTCCGACAAATGATACAAAAGTAGCATAATATGTCGTATTCAATAATAATATTTTTCCAAATACCTGAAAGATTATTCTATCCACAAAACTTATTCCCATTACTTATCTATGGTAGAAATATCAACAACTCAAAACTGAAGAAGCACGACATTTTGAACAGATAAGAAGATGTGGAAATAACCTGCAACTTGCGGTGAATTAACGTCTCGTAAACGTCGAAGAACATTTACTGCAGCACTTGTATAACCGCCTTTTGTCACAGCTCGGTCTTTTATTGCTTTTTCTTCATGTTGAGCCTAAATTTTTAGTTAAAAAACTGCATGAACAACAGAAACAAAAGGAGTAATAGAAGCCATACTATGCCCCAGTTGGAAACCAAAAACTAAATGTGTTTTTCATTTAATCTAAAAATATATGTAAATGGCTATTTTGTCGCAAAGATCGAAGATGCAAAAATCACTACTAACTTGAGTAAGGGCATCATTTGTCGAACTGCAAAATTTTTGGCACTCGATGTAAAATAAATTCAAATAACGAGTACGTAAAGCATATGGGACTTTACCACATGAGTATGGATCCAGCGGTACTAAATTTATTTTCGTGGAATTTGTTACCTGAAGAAGTCACAAAAGTCAATATTAAATCAGCATATCAAAAACAAAAGAAAGCTCTTACTTTATTAAAAAAAGAAAAAATCTTTCATGTATTTATATTATAAATTCAGTATAATGCTAATGCAACGATAACTTACTGGTAAAAACAAGTTCAAATGTTCCATGGTAAATGACAATAACAAAAAGATGACAAAAAGAAAAATACTACTACTTCATTCTCTTCTTATAAGCTTAATTCAAAGAATTAGACTTCATCGAAATTTATATACTACCCTACTTTTTGCGAATGTTCCATTACCAGTAAATATTACAGTGAGATGGTAGCATCAGAGAGCATACTTTTGGCGTATGTGCCATTCGTTTTTCGCCTTTGCCGATCGTTGCAGCTACTGCACCCGACTTATAATCATGCTTTTCTTCAGCTGTTATAATTTTCTTCGCTTTTATTTCTTCTTTGAGTTTCATACTAAAAAGCAAAATCCAGACGATCAGTTAATTATTGTTATCTTACATCCAGTAAAAATTTTTTTTAAATTTTACTTCCTTAACAATTCCTCTTTTTCTTTCTGCAATTTCTGATAACGATTCATTAGTTGTTGAGCCATTGTAGGTGTACGAACTTTCGTTGCTGTTAGACATATTTGTGCAGTCGACTGAAATAATGAAACATATTTATCTTCAATATATGTAATAGTAAATAAGCAAGAGTAAATACTTAACAATTAGTAATAAAATTCCAAGAAAATTATAACTACATAAAATAACCACAAGTAATAAATACCTGCATACTACTGTGTGCTATTCGCTTTGCTTGATCCATATTAATTTGCATTTCTTCCTGTTTTTCTACTTTCTCAGGTAGGCTGCTTGCTTTTGATTTCAGATCATCACCAATATGCTTTCGCTTTTTTGCAGCTGGCACCTAAACCGAAACTAACACCCACGTTAGCAAACTGAATCTTTGAAGAAATGAGAGCTTTTCAAGGATTTAGGAATTAAATCACCGACAAAAGTGTAGATAACTGAACCAATAATGATAATGTCTTTAAGATTTGCTTGAAAATCATAGAAAATGAATTGCCATATCCTGACATTGAACAATTTCGTACCAGAAGGCATCTGGTCGGGTACAGCAGCAGTAAAGAAAATAAATAAAGAGCAAACATGAATAAACATACATCGGTTTCGAAAAGGTCTTCAATAGAAAGCTGTTCGTTAAGTTTCTTTTTTGCTACTGACTGCGATTTTCCTTTAGTTGACTGTTGTTTACTTGCTTCTACATTCTCAACTTTTTTCACTTTTATACGTTTGCTCTTGTCTTTCATTTTTCCTCCCTTTACTTTGCTCTTCAAGTTCGCCACATCTTTTTGATTATCGTTCTCCTCTGGATTTTTCTTTTGTTCAGCTTCAATTTTAGCTTTTTCCACTGACTTCAGTAAAGCGATTGGTGTTGGCGTGTAGCCACCTGTATAAGTTAGTTTCGATCTCGATTTCGAGCCCTAAATGAACCGTTTCAGTACTTCAAGCTGAAAGATATATTTTAAACAGAAGAATCATGGAATGAAGAAATCAACATTGTCTCGAAATTCAATACAAAAATTTACAATGTTCCTCTTAATGAGCAAAACAATTCATGTATTAGATGTATTGCATGTTCTACAAATCTATCATCCTGTTTTTGATGCATCACTTTTTCATTTATCTTAATTCGTTCAAAGAAACTTGAACTGCGATACATTTCATAAAGCATATATTGTACTAGCAAGAATTCATTTTATCTGAAAGATATATCATATTAACTGGATAAGTTAAACAAAGATTATGTAGCAACTAACTGAATGTTTCCTTGCAGCCAAAGAGTCTGAATTAACTGAGGCTGATGGCTTAACTAGTGCTCTAATATCATGAACTATCTTTTCTTTCTGCTGGCGTTCGATTTCGATTTTTCGTTGTAATTCTTCTATTCGTGTATCAATATCAGCCACTGATTTTGCGTAGTCATTTAAGCTCAATTCAGATAATTTAGTGTTCTGCAAATTTCATTGAAATTAGTTCCAAAAAGCTCAAAGATAAAGGTGGAGGAATCAGAAGTTCTAAAAAGCTTCAGAGAGATATACTACCTTTATGTAAGCTGAGAATATAAAAAGGTATTTAGACATTCAGTTTTATTTCTTAAATTGGTTTGATTAAAAAGCTCCTCTGAGATGGGTTGGTAGCCTAGATCAAAATAGTGAAGTAACAAATAAGCTGTGAACTATTTCTTAGGATGCTAAGACAAATCATAAAAGATGACCTTTTGGACTTCCGAAATTTTAGAAGCGTCTTATTATCGCATTTTTAACAACAAAAAAACTGACTTCAATTATATTTGAATTATTAGCAGATGGAGCAGCAGAAATTCTTGACTTATCATTAGCGGGATCCAGTATATCATCCACTGATAATTCCACTGGCATTCTTGGTTTAGGGATTTCCGGTGAAGGCATCCGTTTACACATCGGCCGTGGAGTGATTTTTGTTGGAACATAAGTAACTAAAGGAATGAAATGTTTTAAGCATGATGAACATGTTTTAGTGCTATCGATTATCGGTTTCTTTATAAATGGATAGATATAGAAGTATTTAAAGAAAAGAAACTGTAAGATTATAAACACACCATTAGAATGCTGTACACCTGATGTTGATGGCGGCTGGGTATACACAATCGGATCAAGAGGAGCGTAAATAGACTGATTGCAAATTGGCACAGTCGTTTCAATGACTGTTTTCTGGCTCTCCACATAACCAACATAGCCCACAAATGGTTGCTCAGGTACCGTTGCTGACATCACTGGTACAGGATACTGCTGCTGTTGCTGTGACATGTCATCTAAAAGATATATATGCCTCAAGATATCCTTCAGATATCAGCTCTACAAAACAAAAGCTATGAAACTAAATATACAAATAAAATATAAATTTTGACGAAAGCATTACTTGAGTTTAAAAATATAAATTTTGACGAAGGCATTGTTTGAATTTAAAAATTTTAAAGCAAGATAAATTACAAATAAAAGATAAACTATAACAAAACTATAAAATTACAATAAAACCTTTAGAATGCCAAAAATGGCAATGCGGTCGAGTGCAGTCCTCATCATAAGGGCACATAATATCAGCAAACAATCCTGATCGACCAATCATATTTCCCTTTTCAACAATTAAAATTATGCAAATCATAGAAACTCAAATACTTGTCGCAACAAATCATGAATTTAAGCACGATAAAAATTCTAACGCAGTAATGTATTTCAGCTGAATACATTTCATATTTAAGATTCGGTGCATATCACATAGAAGGATACTCTAAGGTTCTGATTAGAAAATCCCACTAAGAAATGGTTTAACTCAAAAGCTATACAAATTATATTTGCAGATCCTCAATATTTCAAGTTTAATTTTATTCTCCGTGAAAATCCATAACTCACTTATTTAATCCGTTAATATTGTTCTAATTTTAGCGGACATTTTGACCACTTTCTTCAAATATTCAAGACCAAATATATTTGTTTTGTTCCCACCTTGAAAAAAAAAAAAAAAAAAACTTTCTACTGCTATTGTTTTAAAGATCAGAAATTCTTATTCTTATTGAACGAAAAAGAAAAAAAAAAAACTTGAAACATAAAACTTAAGCATAAAAATCTGATCATAATAAATTTCAAAAAAAAAAAAAAAAATGCAGTGAAAAAAACAAAAATATTGTGAGGAAAAATTTATAAAAAAAAGAAAATGGAACTTCAAATGCGTTGCTGCAATCATAGCATAAATAATGATAGAATTCTTGAAGTAATGTTTGTTTTAAGCAACATTTTATTTTTCACTCCACATTCCATTTCATACTAGCAGTGGAAAAGAAAATAACAAAATCTTTGCATAAATTATGAAGAGGAAATTATTCTATTTATAACAAACAAACTGATATTAAATTGTATTCAAATACACTATGTAAGCTTAACTTCCTTTTCTTGAAAAGGAATTTTTCTTCCTATACATTACCAAAATGTTTTGCTAGAAATTTAGCATTAATATTGCAATCTCTATGAAGCTCGAACTTAATCCATAAAGATTTCCAGACTTCAAAATGTATCTTCAAGAACTCTATGACATCTTTAATTCTATCCTTGTTTAAATCAGGATAGAAAAACACCGGTTCTAATTAACTTGTTAATAGAGTTTGCTTAATTTTACGTTAAAATTAAAGGAAAAAAAAAATCTAAAATATTTTCCGACTTGTCCTCAATTTCGATGATTCTTCATCAGTTAAAAAATAATTTTCATTCACAATAAATTTAACACCACCAGGTTATTGTAACCTTCAATCATACATTTGATGATATAGTATTGAACTGTTGAAGCAATTATTCACCCTTGGCTTTTTTTTTTTTTTTTTTTTTGAAATTCCTCATCATTTTATCTTTTTTTAGCAAACAGAATGCTTAAATAACATTTCTATCATATTCCACTTACTGTCCCACATAAAACAACAAGAATGATCGTAATATCAAAAATTTCTTCAAATACTTCATTTCATAGCAAACTCCCTCCTACAGTGTTATCATCTACAACACATTTCATATCTTAAAAAAAAAAAAGGACATTGTCTATTCAGTCCTACATAAAATCTCATTTTTTCGCACATGTATATTTTTAACTTATGTCATATTTCAATGAGTTTTCGCTAAATCATTTCGAAAATTTAAATAATTTCAAAATTTGGATTTTTTTGAATTTACAATCAAGGCTAGAAACCTTATATAACCAATAAATATACCACGCTATAGCAGTTTATTCGCAATTACAAATTCAAAAAGAAATTTTGGACGAAGAAAAATGCAATGGTATAGATTCCTTTTGAAAAAAGAAGACAATTCCAGCTGAACTGCACAAAAAATCTTCAACCATAAGAAAAAGACCTATTATGAAATCTATCTTGAGACCTATGACTACCTAATTTAACACGCTCTGTTAAATAGTACCAATTTATAAAATAGATTAAACATACAAGACCTTTAGAGGCAGTATAACATAAAATATAAGGCCCATATAAAAACAAAATTACAAAAAAGAAAAAAAAAATGTTTTTCCAATACAAAATAATGAATTCGAAGAAAAGCAAGTAGTATATTATGACACTGGTATTTGTTCATATCTCCCACAATTTATGTAATAACTGTTGGAGCGTCACGGCCAGTGAAATGTTCCAATTTGCTTATCTGCAGAGCTACGAGAACCAAAGGCTTCAAAAGTTCCTGAAATTTCAAGGAATAAATTCATAATAATGAGCATGAAGAGCAGGACTGATTCCAAGATTATATCCTAAACCTTGAAACTCAAAACTTGATGGAATTTAAAAACTACAAATTGTATATATTATCCATTTGAATTTTGAGAAAAGATTGTACGTTTCAACTGTTAAGTTTTCAAGAAATACGATATTTTATAAACACAAAGAGCTAACCTCTGAACTTTGGAAAAGCCGTTGTTTATCTGATGCATCAATAAATGAGTCAACATATAAGCGGATTGTTGCACCCAATGAACCAGTACCACTCAAACGGAATACCGTACGGCTGCCATCTTCGAATAAAATGCGTATACCCTGGAAATATGTTTAAGAAATATTTCAGATGCTTATTTAAGAGAAAAGAAGCAAGATTTAGAAAAATATCAAAAAGAACTAAAGATCAAAAGGCTACCTATAGGTAGAAAAAACTACAGGCTAATTTTATTAAATTATTGAATGTACAAACTTTTCGGAACCGATAAATTTAATCTTACAAAAACGCCAGAGCACCTATATATTTAATAAATAACACTATACAAGATATGAATACTATGATAACTTTCAGCATTTTGTGGTAAAGAGCAAAACGTGATTTCTTGCTCTATCTTTTTTACTTTTATATAAGCAGTGTTTTTATATATTTTATCTTTATATATAATTGTTTAGATTGAAGAAACGGACACAACAACTCAAATAATTGAAGTTCTTAAGTTTGATATATAATAATAAAGCTACTATATATAATATAATAATACTATATCAAAACATAATATATATAATACTGTATCCGTTTTAGATATCAAATAATATAGCTACTTCATTATTTCCATATCAATAGACCAAAATTAATATTACACACATATTACATAAATGAATTATCTTTCACTTAAAGACGAAAGTTAGCACTAAAGGCTCATTCATTAATAATAAAATATAACGAATAAAATTCATTTAGTTCATTAATATTTATTAACAAAAAAAAAAGCTGAACTTTGATAATCAATTAGCTGGTTTTCAGAAGGTTAAAATTTAATATTACCATTAGCCTGTGAAAAACATAAAAAAATCGATGCAAACCAAAATTAATATTACTAAAACAATTTAATCAAAAATGAGTTAGCCCGTATAACTTAAAAAAAATAATTGCATTGCTTACCTGCTTTTGTGAAACAGAACCATCCACAGGGTCAGTATAGGCAAAGTTGTCAGCGTACTTGACAATGAAACTTTTCTCATTTGCCGTAAATTTTTGACCAACGAATGCTTGCATTTGGGATTCAATGAATGTCATCATCAAATTTGCTCCAGATGCATCGCAATTTTCATAGTCATATCTATATTATTACGAAAACACTGAGCCATATTCTACGCATATATTAAAAAAAAAATCTCTTAAATCATTTCTAAACAATCAGTATGGATGCTAAAGTCATTCCATCTTCATCCTCCAAAATAAAATGCGCAAATGGTACGTAGAAAAATTAAAAATTTCTCCTTTCCTGTAAAATAAATAAAACATAAAAATTAAATACCGCGTAAAAACATTTCGGCCATATTTCGACCAGTGCTCTTTAACAACATTTTCAACCGATTGTTTCTTTTCTTGCAAAATTTGCAACCACGCAAGTGCAGCCCAAATACCATCCTTTTCCCTACAGTAGCATTCTGAAGTTATCATTCATCCATCTATATTCTTTCTTTGCCAGATGAAACTTGCTTAAAGTTAGGAAAACTTTTAAAAAAGCAGTTAAAACCTAAATATTTTTTTCCTCAAGTATTATCAAGACTTTTATAGCATGCAGTGATTTCTTACATTATTACAGAGAAGCTAAAGATTAAGCGGCGGGTAAACTGAAAACCTTATTCAAGATTTCAAAAAGACAAGCATGAAAATGCTATGACATTAACTGCATCAAACCTTCAAAAAATAAGAAAAAAAAAAAGGTTTTAAAAGATTAACTGAAGAAAAAAGTCTTCATACATTTTAAAAAATATCCAAATTATGAAGTAAGAGTTATAATTACTTAATAAAAAAATAATATCACTAGAAAATGTAAGTTTTATAGAGTTGTAGTTCCGTTTCCTGATCAATGATTCTATCATTAAACAATCTACCCACCTTATATGATCAGAGCCAGTGCCAAATGATTCCTCGCCGCACAAAGATAGTTTACCAGCATCCATAAGATTTCCAAAAAATTTCCATCCGGTCGGAGTTTCATACATCGGCAAACCTGTTTCTTTGGCCACTCGATCTACTGCTCCGGCCGTTGGCATACTTCTTGCATAACCTATAAATTTCTCATTCTAAAAGCGATCAGTGGATGCAGTGAGAGAAAGTCAAAAAGTAGTGTAACAAAAATAAGCGAAAGCTTGGAATTTCAAGCTTTTTTTTCAACATTTTCGGAATTTCAAAAAAATGAAATCTGAATAACCCTATAACTTTATATTTCACAATTTTGATGAGCAAAGATTTAAAATAGAAATGAAGTGACCTTTAATGCCGTTTTGCTGGAAATAAGGGATGCACTTCAAGTTTGCAGCAATTACAGCAAGCGAATCACTAGGCGTCACGAAGAAGCCGTTTTTGCCAAGAATCATATTTCGATCCTAAAACCCACCAGGACTTTATGATTTCCATCAATGCTGCAGTAACAAAGCATATTTGAAAATTTTATTCTAAATTGATTCAAGTGCAACGTGGAGAACGGTAAAGGTGTTACAAGGGAGAAAACAATTAAAAAGATAAACCTAAGCAAACACCTTCATTAAAAAATATAGGTGTTACACAATCAGAGGGAAAAATGTTTCAAATTAAATTTCAAACTGAAAAAAAATTCAAATCTGAAGATTCAGGTCA